AATTTAAAAAAGCAGTAAACAGAGACACAGAGAGGAACTCTGGGCCCCCCTGTCAGAATTTTGCTCCTGGCCCTCTCTTTTATTTGAATAATATAATTAGGGCTGCTGCTTTAAAGTTGATGACTTGTCTGATGATCTCTCTCAGAAAGCCCCCCCCCCCCACCCTCCCATTTGAATCATCAGTTTCAAACATCAAATGCTCACATTTTTATTCTCCCTGCAAAAGTGCCTAATAAAAGCTTTCACTGACACATGATGAACAGTATAACTCCATCCCCTGGCTGATCCTTTGTTTTTCTAACCGCCTCATCATGTGTTATCAGGCTGCATAGTTTAGTCTTGACTCCAAAGTAGACTAATGCCTCGTAAATGTCTAAAGTTTGGATGTACTCTGTATGTCTTCTATTAAAGTTTATTATTGCTGCGGTAATGCAGGTTTAAGCCAAGAAAACATCCCTTGATGGTGCCAAGGCATTGGACAAATTACAATTGTGACCTGATGATGATGCTAGATGAAAGGTAAGGTGATCAAATTTAATTTGATTCATGGTGTGGGCATCATGGATGTCTGCAGCAGATTTTATTGCAGTCTAGGCAATATTTGTTGAGATAGTTCACTCTAAACCACTAATGTAAACCTCAGGGTGGTGCTAGAGGAAGAGTCAGGGGATCACCCAAGTCAGGAAAATACACCTTTTAAGGACCATGAATATATGTTCAAGATTTTATGGCAATCCACCCAATAGTTGATGAGATAATTTCAGTCTGGGCTAAAGTGGTGAACCAACTGTCCAACATCGCCACTCCTATAGCATGGCTACAAACACAGAATCAACCTAAATAAAATAATACAAATAAAATGAATAAATAGCAAATAAAATAAAGTAAATGACTAAATAATAATAAAAAAAATCCCCTATATAAACTAGCTGCATATAGCCCTATAAAGCTCTATATACCCTATGATTTTAGACTCTTAGACTTAGACTATAGACAAGAAGTTCCAGAAAAATGTAAAATCTATATTTACATGGCAAACGTGATTCGCCTGAAAGCTCCAGAACAGTTATTGAATAGATCTTGTGGTGAGATTGTTTTGCCAAGCTGGTGAGAGGTTTTCATCCATGCTGAGCAACAAGCTTATTATCTAAACAAAAGTGAGCAGATGTAGCAACAAGGAATAGATTTTAAAATGCACAAATATAAAATATTAATGTTTTATGTTTTTTGAAAAGAACCAATTACACTTATAAAGGGATGCTGGAGTGCTTTAAATCACAGAGGATGCTGAATTTTCTGTTGCTGTGACAACACTCCGGGTTGAGCGAGCTCATCAGGAACAGTATCTGAACGCCCCTTTTTTGAAAAAGGTATTTGCTTCATCAGTACTGGACTGCGTCTGCAAAGCGTTTAAACCCCAAAATTCAGCCACATTCAGAGCTGGTGAAAAACAGCATTATGGTTTGTTATGTCTATGTCTTGCAGAGCTGGTGGAGGGGCTTTAAATAAAAACAATAGATGTGTTTTTGTTGAGCTGACTCTCACAGTGCACTATGAACTTTAAGTTGACCTGCAGCTGCACCTTCCTTTGCCGTAGGCCTGAAAATAAACTTGCTCAATCTCCATAGCTTTTCTGAAAATGATAAGGAGGTGGTTGAGCAGCAAAAAAATGTCAGACTTAGATGTGTGTTCTTGCCTGATGTTTTAGCTGTCATGAGTGAAAGCTAAAAATTGTTTTTTTTTTCCCCTCCCTGCTGAGATACCTTTTAGCAAGGGGCTTGTGTTCAACCGTGTGAAGATCTTAGGAAAAACCCTGATTTAATTTAAAGTAGCTTTGACCGAGGTGGTTACAGTACAGCTCCTCTGTCTTCTTACCGTGTGGTCCGTCTTTGTAGTCACTCAGATAACATCAAAGACAAAGATGGCGATGTGATTGCTTTGTTTTTTAGACTCACAGGTTGGTGCTGGAGTGCTGAGGCAGCAAGATGGCCCCGCATAATAAGTCAGGAAGAGCGGAGAGCCACACTCCAGGGACTGTGATTACCTCTCACCTGCTCCAAAGAACAGCAAGCCATTACAGAAAAATTATTTCTCAATTTACTTTCTGGGAAAGCTTTGAGAGAGAGCTTGTTTCTGGGAGTGGTTCCAACATAAACCCCCGAAAAATGTAGATGTGCGCCGCTCCCTGTAGGAACTTAGAAAGTAATGCTTGTGTAAATAATGTCTGGAGCAGTGTCTTGTGTTCTAACGATTAGCTCTATGTGACCTACAACTTAATATGCAACTGCTCTAAGTCTGTCTGTGCTTGTTCTGTCATCTTGGTCAATAAAAACCTGTGGAAGAGAAATGAGGCGTTGTGCAGTGGAGTGGGTTTAAGTGTTGTGACCTACAGTCTGTCTCATGGCAGACAATGAGCCCTGCATGCTGATCAGTCCCTGTCGTTCTTAGAAATGTTCTCACTTTTTAATTCTCTCTGTATGAATACAAACTATGTCCAGCTGCAGATGTAGGGATAATCATGGCAGGGAAGTATTGTAGTCTTAGACAGTAAAAAAAGACAGACCTAGCCTCAGTGACATCACCTACAGGTTTCTGAAAAGCCGTTTTGAAGCTCAGAGTAGGCTGCTCCGCCGTCGCCATCTTGGCAGGTGTTCATCCACCTGTCACTTAAATTATGCATAATTTTAAGTTATGCTGCCGTACAGTTGCCACGACTCTACCAAGCTGTAAACATGTTCATTTTCGGCTGTAAAGTTGGACATTTTAACATTGGGGTCTATGGAGATTGACTCGCTTTTGGAGCCAGCTTCAAGTGGCCATTTGGGGAAGTGCAGGTCTGTGTTGGCTTCGTGGCTCAGTCCTGGGATGTTGCCATATTGACTATAGTTGTGATCGTACTCGATCTGCACTTGTACTACTTGTATAGTAGTAGTTGTACAGTAGTAGCAGTCATTAACATAATGATAGTACGAGTATCTAGATGCAGTTGTAGTATTGTAGCATCGTTGTACCTGTAGTAGCAGTAGAGAACATTCATGTATAGTCAAACAAACATAGACACATAGTTGCTTCGGGACAATTGCCCAGCAGTAGTAATACTTGCAGCAGTGCAGTGGAAGTGCATCTGTCATCACTGTTGTAGCAGATATTGTTGTTATGATAGTATAGTAGTAGGAGCTGTGATGGTAGCATTTGCTGGACAAATGGTTGTAGTTCATGTATTAGTAGTTGCTCTCATAGTTGCTGTTATAGAATTAACAGTATGACAGATGATGTGTTATTTAATCGTGTAAACAGTATTAGTAGAAGTTTAATCTAGTTTAATTTACATCCCCCCTTGAAATGTGTCATTATCATTATGATCGTAAGTAGCATCATAACACACATTTCTACACTGTAAAAATGCACTGCATTACAGTGTTAAAGTATTATACATCACTAGCATCCAGATGACCACAGCTAAAGCTTTTTATTTAGCTAAGGTACATGCATGTTTCCAGCTCCAATATCCAGAATCACCCAACACTTCATCAGTCAAACGTCATGTAACAGGCTCATGTGTATGAACCTGGCTGGTTTGTGATGTCACATGTAAAAAAAGGAGGAGACCAAAGCTGATGGTTCTGCCTTGGTTTTGTATTTCACTCTAAAGTTTTGATTTGGCACCAGATGTACCTGAGTGTGTGTGTGTGTGTGTGTGTGTGTGTGTATGTGTGTGTGTGGTGGTTCCCTGAGGGACAAAGGGACACTCGTGCAGCGCAGCCTCTCTGTGATAAGAGGCAGATGAAGGCAGCTGTACAGCACATGCACATGAAACCTTTGGCTGGTGCAGCTTTAATTAGAGGAGATTTTCGCACTTCGCAGTACGGTGACGGCTAATGTAGTGTGTGTAGGTGTGATGTATTCTCAAGACTCTGTTCTTGAGCAGTTGATCAGTGCACTATGAATAGGCTCTGTGAAGTTCTGTGGTGTGCTTTGTTCATGTTGACTGCCTTCTTGACTCATATCAGTACTCACCCTGCACCACAGAGAGTAACGGTCTGGAATTTATGTAAAAAAGGGTAACGGCCTGAATGCTGAGACTTTTACTCCGCTCTTGTCTTCCCAATGATATTTATTTTGCATAGTCACCAACTTTAGACATGCTTTTAGGAATACAGAGCCATTCCTTCAGGTCTCTTAATGCCTCTATGTGAGGGTATGTTTTTCTGTGTGTGTGCGTGAGAATGCAAATGTTGTTTTAAGTACGAGCAATCCGACCAACTCGTGTTGTGGTTTTTCATTTTCAGCAGGTGCCTAACATGAAAAGAAGGGTAAACCACACGCACACGCTCCGAAACGGGTGTGTTTGTCGGTCGCTGTGTCTGTGTCGTCTGAAAGTACATGAAGCAATATGTGTGTATCTCAGTTTAAATAATAACATTTAAATTGTTGTGCTTCATCCATTCTGGATTCAAATCCATCACTGAGACAGTGTGTGGCTGTGGCTCATTTGACGGGGCTTAAATAGCACAAACCACATTAAAATGTTTGCCTCAAAGTGAGCAGTTTCACATGAGCAGTCTATTTACTCAAGGACTTACTGATCTGACAAATACTTGTCACGAAGAGACGGTTGCCATGTTGACTCACGGCAACCTGGGAGTTTCTGTAACGGTTGATTTATGTCTCGGTTTACCAGTAACCCGTGTGCACTGCTCTTGGAAAACAACCTCTCAGGCACGACATTGTATAACAGCCATCATGTCTGAGAGGGAAGGTTTTTTTTTTTTAAACTGAGATTTGAGTGATGCTGACCACGTTGATTACATCTCATAGCTTGAGCTGTAATCACAGTAGTGAATGCCCACTGCTGCATAATGTGCGTGCATACTGCTCATTGTGCTGTGTATGTACGTAGTGTTTAAGAGGAGAAGGATCGGGGACTGCGTGCAGGTTTAGAGCTGTTTGTTAGAGCAGTTTGATTGTAGGTTGTGATGGACGTCTTGTTTTCTTCACAGGGTCTGCAGGTGAAGGCTGATTATGTTCCTCTGCTACAGTCCCTCGCCACGTACGGATGGAGACTCACCTGTGTGCTGCCAACTCCCATAATCAAGACTAACAGGTAATCACCCTCATGTGACTATTAGAGGGGCAGTTAGTAATGTATGACCTCTAACGACCTCTGTTGGCAGCCAGCGGGAACTGCAACAAGAGCAACTACAAGCCTTTTGCTCCTTTTTACTGTTTTTACGAGTGTCTATAAAAAAGTATTGACAAGTAAACACAACACAGTGATCTCCATTTCCACTTCTAAAAGCAATTAGCGGCAGCAGTGGTGATTTAAGTGTGTCCTATATCCTATGGGATGAATACTTACGCACACATGTACCTACACAAGTATTATATTTGTAATTCATTTATATAGGTCTGTTTTCATTTAAACATTAAAAGGTAATTTTCTGTTCATCAGGGTAACAAAAGCAGCCACATTAAATCATATTTAATTCAGTGTTGGCACTGAATATGTGATGTAAATACTTAAAATTATATGTTGAGTGTTTTATTTCATTTTTATAATTCGCCCTTTTGGTGCTAAATCTTTAGCTCACATCAAGGCCTAATATCAGGTGGAATTTGTACATAACAAGGTGCCTCTGTCCTGTGAAATATACTTGAAATATAAAACATCACTCTATGACCTGACGATCTATTCAACAACTGCGACTTCTGCTCTTTGTCATGATGATCCTTTTAACAAAATAAAAGCAGGAACGCCACAATGTAAAATTACTCAGTTACAAGGAAAAGTCCTTCACCTAAAATGTCCCCACATACACTTACATCAGCACAATGCATACTGCAGAAGGGCTCTTTTCAGAGTGTTAAATTGTTATATATAATGTTATTGGTTCGGTATTATTGATGCATTAACATGTTAATAGCATTTTAAATTTGTAGCCAGAGCTGATCATAAGTTCTGTATGAAAAGCCTTAATCTGCAAAGAAGAAGTATAATGTTCTTTAAAGTGCTGAAGGAAAGGCAAGTTTTTATAAAGCACCTTGCATCAACAAGAGCCAAAGTGCTTTTTATCAGACATTAAATTGCAAGGGCAACATTAAAAGAGTTATTTGAGTAGGATTTCAAAAGAATAAAAAACAAATAAAAAGAAAAATGGAAAAACACAGTTTTCAGCATTTTGCCAGTATAACCTGAAGTGACAGCTCTGTGTCAATGCCATGTTTAGAAAGACAGAATATAGATTTTTCTTTTTTACTAAAATCTCTGTGAATAAAAGTGAAAATGAAAAAATCACACAATCACACAAGATCTTTGAAGTAAAGGAGTCAAGCTGAAAACTGGCCACTTCCTGTATATGCCTCAGTATACCTGTGAAAACTGCAGCCTGGTGTAAATTATCACACACACACATTGTCTGTTGAAGTTATTGTTCAAAGAAATATGACAGCTTTTAGAAGGAATTGACCTAAATCTGTGCCAATTTGGACTGAGCGTTGAGCCGACCAGCAGCAGCTGTGAAAGTTTAAAAGCAGCAGCTCTGACTGTTGGTGGAAAATCTCTTCACAGAAATGTAATGGTTCCTCAGCTAAGCTCGTGCTGACTCATCACTCATGGCTGCTAGATGAGTGTACATCCGCTTATGGTCAAAGGCCTTGCGTGTTCTCAGACACACTGAAGAGATTCACTGCAAAACAGAATTTGTTCCTCAACATGCTGATAATGTGCTAAACCAGTGGAATATTTCACTCCAGTACGGCCCAGGATGGCTCTCTGTGACACTGCAAACCAGTCTTAGAAACCACTCATAGGTATTTAAGAATAGAAATACAACAAAAACAAATATAGTCAAAGGCCTTCATGATCAAACAGACCTGCTTTTGCTTTAAATATTTCAATTAAGTAATGTTTTGCAGTGATAACGATAAGATAATTAGTCTACATGCATGCACAGATCTGCACCAAGATAAACACATTTCCAAATAAGGCTGCAGGCAGCTTTTGGGCCTTGACTTGAAGCAACTGTGAAACTTCAATAGTGATTGCAAATTAGAAAAAGACGAAATTCCTTAAACAAGAGTTTAGCAATAAATATTGTGACAGTGAATTGGCAGAGTAACAAGGAAACTGGATCCTAGACTAGCTGTCTGATAAGTTCATTGTCCTCTGTGTCAGGAAGAAGCAAATTATTTCTGGTGAAAGATCAACATTTAGTCCCATATAAAGTGTTTACTAATAGCAGCAAAAGTAACTTGTTGCATTACTTTCGTTAATCAGCTGTCAGATATGTCAAACATGCTTTTAAACAACTCCATACACGTCACATCTGTATTTAACACATGTGGAAATAGAAAACAAGGCACGGCAGTTTGACAAGCAGCCCTACAATATGGAGGGGTGTACTTTAGTTTCAGCTTAAAACAATACTCACATGCCCACATCTATGTTGAAAATGGGGGAATATGAGGAAGAGGTGGAACTAATATTAAAAAAATCAAGTGGGTATTTTCCAAATTTATGATTATTTTAGAACCAAATTCCCACTTTCTATCCTTCTGCAATTCAGGAAGAAATAGTGAGGTTCGTACTAAAAAGACGGTAACATCGGAGCGTCCCCACTCCAGACTCCTCACTGTCAGACTGCTGAAGCCTCATATTAGCTTCAGCTAAACTTCATACTGCATTTCTTATTTTTGACCCCCTTCACTTATATTGAAACCGTTTAAGAGAACTCTTTGTGGCCAGTGATTATAGCCACCAATAACTCTTTCTGTCTACATACGAACATGTAAATATTGTTTTGAGGTAGACATGAATAATCCTTTAATAATATATGTTGTCATGTGTCCCACTGATGAAGTGTGCATGTAGCATTTCCATGCACTGACCGTCTGTTTGCTCTGCCCCCACCTCTCCTGGTCATGTTTGCTGCTCTTTCAGAACACAGCTGATTAATTACCTCTCTATTTTCATCCTTTGTTTTCTTCCCCACCTTCCCTCCCTCTCTCCTCTCTTTCAAAATGCCACAACGCAACAGCACAACATGGCTAATTAATCAGAGTCGGCCTAGATACAGTACAAGACGGAGCTCATTTCTCCCCCTGCCTGCAAAACATTTCTTGCGCACCGAAATAATGGTTGATGATCTATTTCAGATTAGCAATACTCATTACACTTGTTTTCGTGGTGTTGACTCCTCCATTTTTAAATAGCAAATTTGTAAATGCACGCTTTTTGTAGTCTGAGGGTTTGCAGGCTGCACTTCATCTGGAGGGGTCGGATAAGTGTCAGTGATCTCAGCAGCGTCTGAAATTAATGCTAACTGGTGCTCAGCAGCTTCTCCACACAACATTAATTCATGTAGTTGTCTCAGAGCACGCATTCATGTTCGCCGCATTCAATTAATGTGGATGGTAATTACATTTCAGAGCCATTTACTACAGCAAATGTGAATTTCTCTGCATTAACTATGATGCGGTGAACATACAACAAGGAAACAAGAAGGCTGAGAAAAATTAGTTAATTATCGCAGGCATCTCACTTTGCTGGAGTCTAACTAGTGATCAAAAGATGCAACATTATAGAGTCTTCATCTTAGTTTTATGGAGGAAAGATTGCAATTCAGTTGTAGCGGCAGGTTTGTTGTGTCAGGTTTTTTTTTTTTTTCATTTCAAGTGGCAGTTTCTCTCCCCAAAGATGAAGCCACCAACAGGTACATTCACCTATAAATAGTTGCAGGCTATTGCTGTACTATATGGCTTCAAGTTATAATAGTGTGGCTGACACTGACAGCCAAGAGCAGGTTCAGTAAAGGCCTGTAATTTTCTAAGCCATCCACTCCTTTCTAGCTTAATGGGCTGGGGCTTTTGCTGGGAAGTTTTCAGCTGTGATTCGCACAGGAAGCCGTCCAGCATTCTTGACAGCCTAGAAAATAGCATATGGATAAACGGTGGAAGGAAAGAGGTAATGGAAAAAAAAAAAAAAAAAGTTGTGGTGGGCTTTGGATGGTTTGTAAGCCCTGTGCTGGAGGAGTCTCAAGTCCATTTGATGTTGAGAAAGGGAAGATTTGTAGTAGGCTTTAAGGGTTCTCCTGCGATCATAAACCTGCCATCTTTCCTCATGTGCAAGGTTGAGCGGGCAGCTTAACTTCAGACAGCATGTAACCTTTACGTGTGTGTGTGTGTGTGTGTGTGTGTGTGTGTGTGTGTGTGTGTGTGTGTGTGTGTGTGTGTGTGTGTTATTGGACTTGTGTCAGATAGCAGCACAGGAAAACATATCTCCTTTTAAACCATGTCCAATAATAGCAAAAGAGAAATAGAAGGAACAAAGCAGAAACAAACAATATAACTGTCAGACATCAGGCTGTCGCGAGAGATAAGAGCAAAGAGGTAAAACTCAGCGGGTAGGTAGTTAGTGAGAGCACATTGGGCAAAAAAAAAAAAAAACGGGGCTGTTTATGACAAAGATGAGCAGACGAAAGTGTGGGAGTAAGCGTGAGAGACAGGAAGCCCACTCAGAAATGAATCTGCATTTCCTGCCACGATTAATCTGTCAGCGCGAGTACTTGTGCAGATTATCCTCCTCAGAACACAGGGGTGTGACATGTGCATGGGATGGAGGATTATGTTTGGGGAATTGAGGGAAAAAGGAAGAAATACATGATCTGAGAAGTAGATGTTCACAGACATTCAGGCAAACTTCAATATCAGCCTCTTAGCATGTGAACAGACTGTTTCCCTGCACGATTCAAGGGAAAGCGGGTGAAACGACACTGATAGGCGACAGCAGTAAAGAGGTTGGGCCGCAAATGTGAACATATATCCTTAAACTGTCGGATAAGAGAGTGAAGCATGGGCAGTGGCCAGCAATCATCTCACTATCTCGTCGGAAGGTCAGTAAGAGTGTGGATGACTGTGTGTTATCCCAGGATTTAACTCAGATGAATTGTGCACATATATCTTGGAGTGCTGCAGCACAAAAAAAACAACAATGAATTATAAATAATCTGTCAGGGTTTCTGAATGTCTAAACCTTGAAAAGCCAATGGGAATAACATATTTCCCTCTCCCATTCTCGTGTTGTTTTAAATCATTTCTAAATAAATTAGTGCCAAAAAAAGTAAAGGTGCTTGATTCAAGAAGTAAAATAATCTCAGAGTCTTGATGAATTGCCAACATTGTCAGCTGATGTTCTCTTCTCTTTGTGTTTCTCTCTCTCTCTGTGTCCTCATCTTTCAGTGATGGAAGTCTGTCCACCAAGCAGATTGTTTTCCTGCAGAGACCCGTGTTGGGCCGAAAGAGGAGGGAATCCAAGGTATTTGACCTCACATTCCTCTCTGTATTTCTTGGCTAATGTGAGGTCTCCCACCAGTCCTTCTGTCACCTGCTCACCATATATCCAAAGCCAACATTACCTTTTGCCTCCTCCGATTCAACAGCTGGTTTTAGTAGTACACAAACGCACACAACAATGGACAAACGTGAAGGCGCTCTTCTCTGTTTGAGATTCTTCTGTAACCGACAGATGTGTTGTTTGGGGGAAGGAGGGTTGGTCATGCTGTCTTGGCGACCTTGAATAGTGGTGATAAACTATAAAGCTAACCTTTGTCCGCAGTGGAATGAATCCATGTTGACGCTTCCTTTGACCCGAATTTAAACTGCCATCACAACAACAAATTTAATAGGCTCTAAGACTCCGGGAATTGCTAACGTTAACAAGATTTTCTTGACCAGAGTTTATCTCAGTTCTCTATATCCCTGCAATGTGTAGAACCCTGCAGAAGTTGTTCAAGTAATTGAGGACCTATTGCATTAAATTTTGCCTGTTTGTTTGGTCAGACTGAAGGCCTTGAGGGCAGCAATAACTCCCCTCAAAATGGCCTCAATTTCCTTCCGTGCATCAATGAGACTCATTTGAATTAGCTAGTTATCCCTTTGCAATATTAGATCCACTGTGATCCATTCTTAATTAAGTCTGTGTGTAATGCTGTGTGCCCAAAAGCATATTTAAAGAGTTACAATGCATTCCACTAACATGCTAATCTAAATGTTTCAGAAATTGATCTTCAAGCCCCGAGGAAAGTCCAATAAGAACTGCATCAAAGACACAGCAAAGAACAAGAAGAAGAAGAAAACAAAAACTGAGAAGGACGCAGAAGATCCCAAGATTCTTGATGACAAAGAAAAGGTTGAGAGAGAGGAAGACAAGAGTAGGGTGAACGCAACAGACGTAGAGGCAGCGAGGGAAAGCGAGACACCGCTAGAAAGGGAATCGAGATGTGAGGAAGATAGAAACGTTGACGATGGGATTGAAATCAGCATAGAGACTGTGGAAGAGAAAGATGGAGGAGAAGAGACAAAAGGAGCAGAAAATGGCACAGAAGAGGAAGAAGAAGAAGCAGAAGAAAAGATAACAATGGATGGAGAGGGATCAACGGAGAATGGAGAGCCTTTAGAAAACGTCCGGGAAGTGGCAGAAACTGTTGCGACTGTGGAAACAGAGAACAAGACCAAAGAAGAGGAGGATGAAAGTGTAGCAGAAGTTGAAGCTGTGATTGAAAACGGTGTCGAGACGGATGAGGAGAAAGACGAGGGTGAAGAGAATGCGATCAAACACAAGACAGAAGAACCAGCAAGCGTGGAGGTCATCGCCAAGGAGATTGTGGCAGACTCACAGGCCACACTGACCAATCAAAGCCCAGAGGAGACTCAAGAGTAGCCCCAAGTCAAGGTTTTTCCCCGCCCTACCTCTCAAATTCCCCATCTTAAAAACTGGTTCACAGTGTTGTCCCTGATCCAAATTAATGGGGCTTCGATCCCCACCGCTGCAGCATTGTCCAAACCTGCCATCTTTCATAAACGATGTCCCCAACCCCAATCTGCAACAGTGTAGCTACAGAATGATTTCATGTGACTGCAGACATCAGTCCTACCATATAACCACACATACTGAATGTATATATCCAAAAACAGGCGGTGCTGGTGCGTGAGTCAATGTGGAGTCACTGGAATAACTGGATGAGGTTCAACAGGGTTGGTGAATATCTGCAAACAGGATGGGTTTTTGTTTTGCTCTAGAAGAATGAGCAACAACTTGAAGACCTGGTCACATCAGCACTTAAAACAGCTAAACTTTTCAGTGAAATCAGTTCATTCAAATGGAATCAGCATGATTAGTTGATAAGTTTTTGGGGGCAAAATAAATCTGCATTACTTCTTTGCATAAAGTTCAAATTCAGTAGAGTTGGACATCGATTTTGTGCTGCTAACCAAGAGCAACTCAAAAATGAAGGACGCTATCATGGCTTATTAGCTGACTTTTATTCATCTTATTGTCTCATCAGCAACCAAGCTAACTGTCAGTTAACAAGTTAGCTAGCTAACTTCTTCTTTACCCCTTCAGTGATTCTTTATTGAATTAAATGAGGTACAATGAAATGCTAAAGGGAAGTAACTTGACCAATACAGAGAAAAAAGCTAGGAGAGCTACTAAGACTGAATAATGATAGCACGTTAGCAGTTAGCTCGCCAGATATAGTAATTTACCAACTCGCCCTGTGAATAGACCCTATGTCACCAAGCTTCTAGAGCCACACATTTTGCAAAGATACGTGGAAAAATTACACTGTGCATCTTTCTGTTGTGACCAGGCCTTTAAGGAGGGTGAGGAGCATTACACCGTTCTTCTTGCAATGTAACACTGAGTTTATGTCAGCTTGCAGCCTGTTTAATTAGGGTTATTTAGATAGCCTGAAAGAACGGCAGTGATGTCTCTGAAAGGTCATTTCTTGCTTTTGAAGAAAAGTTTGAGACCACCCAGCTACCCCCTTCAGCTCTTCTAGTCCTGTCTGAGAGTCGTACCCAGATATAGCATCTGTTACAAGAGGTACTTTCACCTGACTGTTAAACATTTCGAGCAGCTCTCCTTGGTTTTTGAAGCTGTGGAAAAGACAAGTCAGCTCCCTAATCCAAGATCCAAGAGAATCCTGACTAGACACAGGCCTGACTCCCCCAAACGACTCACGATATAAGAGGCTGGTAAGCTCAGAAGAGCGTCCTATGTGATCACAGACTGCATCACCACTTCCTGTTCCTTGGTTCTGTGCACCATATTAAGTTGTGATGTGGAGGGAACTTGGAGGAGAACGCTGGTAGAGGTGATGGGAAAGGCGTTTGTTGCGACAGGCAATCCAAAGTAGGGTGAAGAGATAATTGTTTACGCTGAGCTCTAAGCCGTCAAGTGCTTCAAAGAGAGCCGATAATCACTCTTTGGTGTGGTGTGCTAAGCTCACCTTGCATACAGAATGTCCCACATTCAAAGCCAAGTTAGATAAGGATGTGAAATTCAGCTGAATGTTTGCAGCCCAAGGGCAGCACTCGTATTTAGATTCTCCTAGTTAGTTTTTACATACAGGAGTGAGGATTTATTTCTACGCAACAGTTGCATTTTTAATTACATTTCCAGTCAAAGGCCACAGAGATGCTTCTCAGTGCGGAAACAAGGTTAAGCTGTGCGGTCAGGGCAGAGGCTTGATGTTGTTTACTCAGACCAAAACTGAAGATTGAGACGGAGAAATTGAGACAAAGGAAGAGGTTGAGAGTGAAAGAGAGAGGCCACAGAGCATAAGAGAGTCAAATAAAAGAAATGAATAGGCTCAGTTTAAGCAACGTCTGTTTATGTCCCACATACCCCGTTGAGATTTCCGTCGTTATTTTACCTCCAGCTCTTTAAGCACGTCTTACCCGACATCATTCCTGACAATAACCAAGCCATCATGTGCTGTTTCATTACATCATGTAGCTTTCCATTTGAGAAAAAGGAGAAGGTGAGGGAGGGAGGTGGCAATGTTCACGGTGCAGAGCTCTCATTAGCTCGCTAATGGATTTTGTCAGTAGGGTATCTGTCAGGAATCATGCATTTATAATGGGGGTCACTTATTGGGGGATGTATTGACAGCAAAACACCTCAAGAAAATAGCCTTTAGATTTAACGGTGATGTCATATAGGGAATCGTTTGCACTGAGGAGGATGAGTTCGTGTTAAAAATGCTCAATTTTGCAGAGAAATTGGACACACTTTGTCATAAAATGTGTCAGAAAATCTATTTATTAAAACGTTAGCATTCGGTTACTCAAGAACTTAAACTACCTGCTGTCTCGCTTTATACAGACTATAATTTGTCATAATTTGGATCTTTTGTTTTATGAGAATAGATGATACCTTGGTCATGTCTCCTTTTGGAGATGAAACTCTTCAATTACACACAAGTAAGATCGATTATGCCGAATAAGTGCTCTCCTTTTTGGGGGATTAATCCACCCGCCGCTGAGATTCTTTTCAATGTAAAATGGCAAATGTCTTTGTGTAGAGTAGAATATAAAAACTGTGACCAGTTTAGCCTTATTACTATACTGTAAATGGCCCTCAACCTGCTATTAGAAATGTCCTTTAGAGGCACAGTGGTGATTTAAGTGTTATATGTTTGTTATAGTCAAACAGGAAAGTTTTGCTACAGTCAGTGTTGGTATTTTGAAGCTGTTGTTCCCTGTGTTATTACTGGAATTCACAGTGAGGGGATAAAAGATTTGAAGTGTTTGTCTATATGAAGGAAATATGTTTTGGATTTATTTTGAAGATGTTTGGAACATGTTATTTTTTTTTTATTATTATTATTATCGTTATTATTATTATTGTGAATGTTCTGTTTATGAGTCGAGAGATTTTTATTGTGGGCTTTGTGTTGCCTCTGCTGTTCCGCTAAAGCTTGCTAAAATGTATTTCTGACTGATGCTTCGAGCTACCTCCCGAGGGCTGTTGTTGGTTTTACGGGGGGGGGGGGTCACGGCCTGTGTGACCCCCCCCCCCTGAAACATATGCTCCTTGTCCTCTCGGCCTCCACTATGACAGAGCCCGGACCCATGAGCGTGAGTTCATCACTAATGGCAGACAAGGTCAAGGGTCACATTTGAGCCAGAATGGATTTTCCACAGCTGTACACAGGAGTTCGCACGAGCACATGACAAATAACCACTCTGATATTGAATCAAGATATGAAGTCATATCATAATATTCTCTGTGGTGTTTCCTTTTTCTTTTTTTTTTGCTCTTCGGCTGTTTGAACTTTAATAAGCACTTATTGTATTCAAGAAATATTTAATGCTGCTGGGGAGCAAATAAGACTCAGCCATCACTTTCACACTTTCGTCAAGTGTGACATATGAATTATGAAAGGCAATACCAAAATATGCCTTTTGATAGCTGACGTGATCACTATGAATATTTGAGCAATTTCCCCTCTGAATCCTGGTCAACTTTAATCAGATTTAATCAATTTCTCCATTCTCCCCCGTGTCAAGATAAACATTTTAACTGTCATCTATCTGTTTTATGAATATGAATATATTTCAGTGTTCCTGCCTTTCTCCTTTTTTAAAAAAAAAAATTTCTTTCTTTTTCTTTTTTTTTTTTATTTGAAACTGTGACATTTATTCCCCTTTGGCATCCTGAAAACAGACACATCATGTTCCACTTTATCAGAGTTTGGAAAATCAGTTAAAGCGACGAGGTGAAGTCATGTGACACGACTGTGTTTTTGTTTTTTTTCCGACTCCCACCACATTCCGGTTGGACATCCACAAACATGGACGATTGTAACCTTGACAAAAGTTACAACCGGCCTTGTGTCGGCCCCGTCCTACCTGAGGCCGTGGCCTTCAGTGCTCTAACTTTCCCTGATAAGGGCTGATTGGTTGCAGTGCAGTCTAACCTCTGACACGAGTACACTCCAGGGACTGTGGGTAATTGTGTTTTTTTTTTTTTTTTTTTTGTCTGGTATTACGAGGAAAAAAAAAAAAAGAAAAACACAGACATGGAGAGAAAAGCGAGGCAGGATCTGACACTTCATCAGTTAAATGATGCTGAACCATGTTAACGTCTCCGTCCGTGAAAAGAAAGAGACCTTTGTCTAATGTTCGACTCAAATACATTTGCAGCCCTCTACTCAACTGTGTAAAAAAAAAAAAAAAAAAAAAAAAGGTAATATACAGTTTCCTGTCTTTTATCAGCATAATTGTCTCTGAGCCTCAATAGCGGCGCTGGTGCAATCGTTCTTGTTAATGCTGTAAAAAAAAAAAAAAAAAAAAAAAAAAAAAAAAAACATAATGGTTCATTTCCTGTGTGCTACTATGATGTGAAATGGGCAGAGTAGAAATGACAGAACATGATACAATAGGATGCCGTCTTTTTTTTTTTTCTGTGTTGTCACTTTAGCTTGCTCACAGCCTCTGGAAAACGTATTCTTAGATTTTTTTTTTTTTTGTCTCTGATGTTAGTTTCCTATCACCTCGGCTGCCATCTTGAATGTTGAGTATCTTTGATCATGTGCTGTTGTCACTTGCATAGCAGTGTTTGCTATCGAGTAAGAAGAAGTATTCTTTATCTTTGCTATCCTGAGTATGTCCACATTCCTATTGTTCATGACATCTGTACAATTTGTATATTATAAAATGATTTATATTTAATGTGTACATGTGTCCTTGCTTCTTTTGTGTCAAAGGGAATATCACAGCATCTGTTTGTTCAGGCAGTCACTGTTAGAAGTAACTTTGATGTTCAAGTGCAAAGCTCAAGTGCAGGAATTATCCTTTAGCTCTAGATTTGACTCATGAACTAATTAAAGGGTAGGGTCACAATTTTTCAAGTCAGTCTTAAAATAATAGTCAGATCTCCTTATGTACACTGAAACCGTTTCTGCTTGGTGTAATCATTCCATCATTTGTCCATATTTGAGAGATCACTTCCTAATGTGGGGCACAACAGCTGAAGACTCATAATATATATATATATATATATATATAATATATTTCTCATTATTTTCATTATCAATTAATCTCCTGATTATTTTCTCAATTAACTGATTAATCATTTGTTCTAAAAGATCAAATAAAAGATAATGCAAAAATGCAGGCTTCATTTCCAGAGGGGATAGTTTCAAGTCTAAAGTGATGTCTTCTAATTACTTTTTTTTTGGTCCAACTATCATTCAAATTCAAAGATTTTCAGTTTAATTGTAGGTCCGTTTTCATGCAAAAAAGCTGAATAATTTTGATGAATCAAGCGTCACAAATGAGCTTTTCCTTACATCATTTTAATCAATTCTAAATTATATATAGTTTCTGATTGATCTTCTAGCAATCAACTACTCAGTTAATGAATTGTTAGCATGTTAGGAAAGGATATATTACAAGAAGGAGGAATGATTGCAGCTGTTTAATCACAACTCCTGCTCTTCCTGACCATGTGCAAACTTGCACTTTTTCATGTACATATCGTGTGTATTGTGTATATTGTATTTATTAGTGTATATTTGGTGTATTTTTAATGTATATTTCCATAGATGTTTATTCTATAGATGTTTATTTTTCTGCTGTGGTAAATGAATTTCCCAGTTGTGGGATTAATAAATCTAATCTAATCTAATCTAATCTAATCTAATCTAATCTAATCTAATCTAATATGGTCATGTGAGCAATTGTTTTAAAACAGACTTTTTCAGCTAGAGAACATAATCATTGTCTTAGTCATAATCTTCTACTTCCAGTCCTGTAAATCCACTGAGTCGAGTCTGAAACAAGTCCAAGTCCAAGCAGGTCTGAGATCAAGTGGAGGTTCTTTTGTTCATGGTGACACAACTAAATATAACAATACAATAAATATAGTAATCTTCAATGTTACATGCGAATTACAAGTGAAAGTCTGACTTTGATTCCGCAGATTTGAGCATAAAACCACNATTTTTTTTTTTTTTGTCTCTGATGTTAGTTTCCTATCACCTCGGCTGCCATCTTGAATGTTGAGTATCTTTGATCATGTGCTGTTGTCACTTGCATAGCAGTGTTTGCTATCGAGTAAGAAGAAGTATTCTTTATCTTTGCTATCCTGAGTATGTCCACATTCCTATTGTTCATGACATCTGTACAATTTGTATATTATAAAATGATTTATATTTAATGTGTACATGTGTCCTTGCTTCTTTTGTGTCAAAGGGAATATCACAGCATCTGTTTGTTCAGGCAGTCACTGTTAGAAGTAACTTTGATGTTCAAGTGCAAAGCTCAAGTGCAGGAATTATCCTTTAGCTCTAGATTTGACTCATGAACTAATTAAAGGGTAGGGTCACAATTTTTCAAGTCAGTCTTAAAATAATAGTCAGATCTCCTTATGTACACTGAAACCGTTTCTGCTTGGTGTAATCATTCCATCATTTGTCCATATTTGAGAGATCACTTCCTAATGTGGGGCACAACAGCTGAAGTATATTATGTATTGTTATATTTAGTTCTTGTCACCCATGACACAACAAGAACCTCCAACTGATCTCAGACTGCTGTGGACTTGACTTGATGTTTCAGATTCGACGTCAAGTGCGATTTACAGGACTGGAAGTAGAAGATTATGACTAAGAACAATCGATTATGTTCTCATAAGCTGAAAAAAGTCTGTTTATAAAACAATTGCTCACGATGACCATATATTAGAATTAGAGTTCATACAGATTAGATTTTAGATTAGGAATAGATTAAGATTAGATAACTTTATTAATCCCACAGCACAACTGGGTAAAATTCATTTTAGCCACAGCAGGAAAAATAAACATCTATTAGAATAAACAGTCTATGGAAAAAATAGCATCAAAAATACACCAAATATACACTAATAAATACAATATAGAACAACCAATTACACACGGCTATGTACATCGCAAAAAAGTGCAAGTTTGCACATGGTCAGGAAGAGAAGCAGGAGGTTGTGATTAACAAGCTGCAATCATTCATCCTTTCTTTGGTAATATTATCCTTTCCGCAACATGCTAACAATTCATTAACTGAGGTGTTGATTGCTAGAAGATCAATCAGAAACTATATATAATTTAGGACATTGATTAAATGCGTGTAAGGAAAAGCTCATTTGTGGACGCTGGATTCATCAAGAATTATTCAGCTTCTTTTGCATGAAGAACGGACCTACAAACTTAGAACTGAAAAATCTTTAGAAAATTAATGCATAGTTGCGACCAAAAAAAAAAGTAATTAGAAGAACTCACTTTAACGACTTGCAAACTACAAGAGGCACTGAGGACCCGCCGTACCACACGGAGTCGTCACCAGCCGGATTAAACGCTTCGCCACACCGTCCTTATAATAAGGATCCACTCCATGTGAAGGAAAACACACCCAAACCAGTTCCACGAATGAGAGCCCGATGCCTATTTGGGTGTTTTTGTGCGACAACCAGACTGTCGTCAACCACTGGAGGCCCACCCGTCAAGTACACCAATTTAACCAAGTCGTTGAAAAAAAAAAAAAAGTAATTTAGAAGACATCACTTTAGACTTAATGAAACTATCCCCTTTGGAAATGAAGCCTGCATTTTGCATTATCTTTTATTTGAGCTTAGAACAAGATTGAGTATAATCAGTTAATTAGTACTGAAAAATAAATCAGAGAGAGATTAATTTATGAAAAATGAGAAATATATATAATATAAATAAATATATATTATATAAATATATAATAGTATAATTAGAGCTTCAGCTGTTGTGCCCCACATTAGGAATAATCCTAAACTGAATTCCCATATGGACAAATGATGAAATGATTACACCAAGCAGAAACGGTTTCACAGTGTACGAATAAGGAGATCTGCACTATTATTTTAAGGACTGAGCTGAAGAAGGTGTGACCTACCCTACACCTTAATTAGTTCATGAGTCAATCTAGAGCAAAAAGGATAATCCCTGCCACTTTGAAGCTTTGCATGCATGCGAGTCGAAAAGTTACTTCTAACAGTACGACTTGCACTATAATACGTAACAAACCAGTATGCAAGTTGTGGATATTCCCTTTGACCACAAAGAAAGCAAGGACCACATGTACACATTAAATATAAATCATTTTTATAATCATACAAATGTACAGATGTCTTGAACAAATAGGAATGTGGACATAACTCAGGATATCAAAGATACAAGCAATTACTTCTTCTTACTCGGATAGCAAACAACTGCTATAGCCAAGTGACACAGCACATGAATCAACAAAGATACTCAACATTCCAATGGCGGATGAGCCGCAGCTCCGATGGCGGCGCCAAGATATGGAATAACTTCAATCATCAGAAAAGAAAGCAAAAAAACAAATAAAAAATACTAAAGAATTTACGTTTTCCACGAGGGCTGTGAGCAAGCTAAAGATAGAAAATAAAAATTTATCAAACCATAAAATGAAAACATACAGCATTTAAAAA